GAATTCCTGGTACCCACCTCTGTTAAAGGCTGAGTCTACCTCAGGGCCATAGTGCGGTTGGAAGAGAGAGAATTTCACTCAACGTAAGTTTTGGTAGTGGCATTTCCTCTGTTTCATATAAAATGATTACGCAACCAAGACTCGGTCCTAGCAGTCAGGAAATGACATGGCATGACACTGATGCTGGAGATTTGTTTTCGAAAACAAAATGAAACTGAGTAAGATTTGTGGTTTTCACGGCCGTGACTATGAAGAATGCTGTCTTCTGGGATGTGACGCCGTGTAGATCCTGTGTGAACCAATATTTCAGAGGAACGTATCGCCTGAATCTTCAGGGTATAAAAATCCGCGAGCGAGTAATCAGCGTGAGCTGATTTTTTGTACCCTGAAATGGAGGCGATATGATCCTCTGAAACGTCGGTTTACACAATATCTACGCGGCGTCACATCCCAGAAGACGACTTTCTTCAGAATGAAACTGAGGTTGACGCCCCTGCAGGAGACTGAAACCTTTAATTTGTGGACTAAAATTCGAATACTTTATTGCCTTTATATCAATTTTGTAGGATGCAAGGCAGCAGACTACAAAAATTTGTATACTTATCTCATGTGAGATATCCGGGAGACGTGGTAAGGCCTTAATTACACTGTACTGTCAGTATTATAAGGTTCTGACATCCGAACAGGTTTGTAGTTTCTCTTTTCTTGTGTCTGAAGAATAATACTTCGATTTATCTTCAGTTAACCAGAGTTAAATTCATTGTTAAAAAACTGATACAGATTCTAAGAACTGAATTCTTAAGAGAACTATATTCCTTTGCTGTTTCCAGCCTTCCAACAGAATACGCGTACCCCTACATGGACGAACAATTCCTTTGATTGATTGTTAGTTTTCTGTATATTTTCAGTTGCTTATCGTAGTTGGTTGAGGCAATATGCTACAAGTCGGAAGGTCGTGGATTCGATTCCCCTTGAGATCGTTAGATTTTTCAATTGACCTAATCCTTCCAGTCGCACTATGGCCCTGGGGTCGACTCAGCCTCTAATAGAAATGAGCATCAGGAATCATCCGGGGGGTAAAGGGCAGCCGGCACGTAAGGCTGACAACCTCACCACCATATGTGAGCCGATTGTCTAGAAAATGTGAGAGCTTCGATGTCTCACAACCATATGTGCCTCTACGACCTGTTACAGGGATAGCTTTTATATGAGATGACCTGCGATAGATGGATTGTTAAGGAATATGGAAGGAGCCTGTCGTGGCTTGTTGCAAGATACTGAGGCACCGTTTGTCCGGAGAGACTGAGGAAGGGGACGGAAGCAGCCGGTCTCGGTGCTTACGTTTACATATCTGTCCCGGACATCAGAGGCGGGGAGACTCATTCATTGTAGTGATTTGTGCATTGTGTGTAGTGTAACATTGCAGTGCAACGTATCGTGTTCTCTTCCCGGGTGCGACAGATTGAAGTTGTGACGCCTCTGGCTGTGGGATGTGACGCCGTGTAGTCTGATAGATTGCTCCATACATTACAGAGGAACATGATCTCAATCCTCTACCCTACAGATGTGGTATGTTAACCAAAAACGTCAGTAAAATTCTACCGACCTGCACGCCGTGACATCCCCAAAGACAGTAAAATAAATTTTCCCGCTTCTTCACGGCGTCCGGACCGGTTCCAGGGCCCATCTCCTATCTTACTGGCCCCAGGGACCCTTCCTGCTGTTTTAAAGTGAGCGTAGCCTGAAGCTCACCACTCACCTTCATCTATACCGAGGCCATATGCCTTCATGCAATGGTGCTTAATTAACACAACGAAAATTTTGTCTTAAATCCTGCCTCCCAAGGTGGTAGCCCTTAAAGGTAAAAAGGTAAATTTGTCCTAGTTAAGCACTGTGCCATGAAGACATAGGGGAGTGGAGGTATAACTCCATTTTGTTTTTACCTCGGCATTGGATGGAGATGAGTGGTCAGCTTCACGCTCCTGCCAGGTGGTAACTGTAGATGGGGATAATATTAAAATCGATCTTATCGAAACTGTTTCCTATGAACTGGATTTAAGCTCTGAAAAGAGACCATTCGAAGTTTCTTATGAATACGGAAATGAATCATTGAGCTCTATAAAAGGCTGGAAGTTTTGTGGCTAACTCCGCGACCACCATTTGCTCAAGAAGGAAACATCTCTACATAATTAGTTGCTTTGCAGTCCGATACACAGCGCTAGCAGCAGTTTGCGGAGACTGCTGACAAGCCTCCCTGTTTAGCTCAACATGAATGTACTGAGATACCTCTCTCCTGCTAACTCAATCTAACTCAGAGCCCAAGGAACTTGTGAGAACGTACGAGACGTAATGACGTTGTTGTTGTTGGGGGGGGGGCTAGTGGTACGCAGGAATGGGCTGCATAGTTCGTACTTTTCGTCTCACCCGACCAGAGAATCAGTAATACGAAAGCAGAGATTCTTTTCTTCTCCAATACGTTCTGTCCCTCCCCCCCCCCCCTCAGCGTCTCGAATACTTACACGGGGTGAAGCGTCCGGATCTTGAAACTGACCACTCACCTAAATATATGGAGCCCAGGTTAAGACTGCATGTAGCTATGACTCAATTCACTCAAATAATTTAGTGGCTAAAATGCAAGAAAAAGGCGAAGTTGGCATGAAGATGTGTGTGGAAGTTGTGGCTTAATTTCACGATTCTTAACCTCATCACTAGAATTAGGTGAGTGATCTACTTCACGTCCCGGCCGCATTACTCCCGGTGTGCTGGGTGGGTTCCAGAGTCGATCTGAACGCTGTGGTGAAGAGAAAAAATATATCTTTCCCCAACCGAGAATCGAGTCCGTAGCTCGTTGCTGTACCCGCTGAGCTATCCCGGCTCCACAACAACCTGTGGAATGGTACTTGATTACTTAAGGACGAGGGCAGCACATATTTTTCATTTTCTTCAGTAATCTGTCTTACGACAGGTCCACAGTCTCTTCCAAAACAGTTCCTCCACTTAATGCGATCTAGAGCTTTCTCCTTCAAATGAGAATATCCTCTTCTGTCCCCAAGGTCATCCAGCATCTTCTTACGTCTTTTTCCTCGTCTTCTGGTCGCATACATGGTATCTCTGTTTTTGGAAAGAGACTATCCAGGAAAAGTGATAATGTGGTAGTTTTTCCATTTGCTTTCCACATCGCAGTAAAACAGCCGTTCAAACCACTCTGGTCACGCCTGTTGCTATACGAACTTGAACCATCTCGAGCATCATTTGCTCTGTGCTTCAAGTCGCTGCTGATGACGCTGCTTCCAGCTGCTTCTTTACAATTAAGTAACTCACGCCACGAGAGAAGGTTCATCTCACGTAGCTCATGGTTATTCTTTCTTATATCTTCTTATTTAACGGTGATTATATAGTGCCTGATGATAGGTTGTTTGGTGAATTGGAGGGAGGTGTCGTGACCTATTCGAGGCAGTATCCCGGCATTTGCCTTGAGGGACCTGAGTAAAACCACTAAGAACCCCATTCAGGATAGCAGATGTAGGAGCTGAAATTCGAACCGATCACTTCCTGACTGCAAATCTATCGGGTTATTTCTACTCGAACGTACTCTGTAATAGTTCCGGAACCCGAAGGTTCATTACCATATTCACCAAAGCCCACCACTGGTCCGCATTCTGAGCTACTTAACTCCAATCCACACCCCATTCGCTGCTCCCATTTAGACTTAGGTCTTACAAATGTTATCCTCCTTTCAGATTTTCCAAATAAAATTATGTCTGCATTTCTCATCTACCCCGCATGCGCTGTATGTCCGGCTAAACTTATCCACCTTCATTTCCATCGCAGTTCCAAGTCCCGTGTAACATTGCGTTATACGTTTTGAGGTTGTTTGCCCCCACCTCCAATCTACGTCTTCAGGTTATAAAGAGACTCTTTGTAAGATTTAATGTAGTGTTTTTGGTTATGATACCGTGCAGTCTGGAATGTGGATACCAAAATTTCCGAAGAACATACTGCCTCTATCTCTACCCTGAAGCTGGAAGCAGTAAGATCCTCAGATACGTTGGTACCCATATACCAGACAACACGAGTTACCCTGATAATGGCCGTGCCATAGCTCAGGCGGTTAGTCTCTGGCTTCCCACCGCAACGGTCCGGGTTCGAGCCTAGGTCAGGTCATGTGGGATTTGTATTGGACAAAGAGGCACTGGGGCAGGTTTCCTCCGAGTACTTCGGTTTTCTCTGCAATTTCTCATTCCAATGACTGCTCCACATTCATCATCTATCATCCGGGGCTGGTACAATAGGCCAATTAGTGCCCGACGTACCAAGTGGACTCTGCCTCACCCCACCCAAAGAAACTAAAGAAAAAACTACCCTGATAACGGATACAGTACGCTTCTCCGAAACGTTGGTAACGATATATAAGACTGCACGGGGTCTTAACCCATAGGTAAAACAACATTTGTAAGTTTATATGCCCCTAAGTGATATTCGAAACCGCTGCCTCCATGTGCAGACGACCAAAGGTACGCAAGAATTTTAATTCATGTCACTAGAGGTGATGCATTTGTTAAGAAAATTTAATTGGGTCAAAGTGGATTGCATCCACTCCTCATTAAGCTGAATTACTGATTTTCAATTTATCTGACATACCATTCTATGCTTGCCCTAGAACACCTCACTGCATCTTGTGACTAGTCTTGAAAACCATCAGACATGGTCTTTACGAATTCGATAACAACCTTCTCTTGTTTGTACAAATATACATTAACGCAATGCAAAAAAGAAATGAAACTTCACATCTCTGAACATTTTGCTTTAAATAAGTCATGATGTCTAATCGATCACATAATATAAATCAACGAAGGACGCAAGCAATGAAACCTTCCAAACCCTGTAAAAATGATTTAGTGATTTTAATATGTAGCGATTGGTCACACTGTGCCGTATCAAACGCTTCAGACATCACCGCCTGGCGGTCGGCCATCGCGTTAGCTCTCGTTTCTCTCCTGTTTGCATCGGACGGACTAGGGGAGCTGGTTCACGACTGGTGTCGCGCTTAATGTTGATACTCTTCGAGTGTTTGTGTGATAAATATTGTGAAATTTGTAAATCAGTGCTAAAAACAATGTCTAAGGGGTAAGTTTTGTTGTGTTTAAGGCTATTCCGACAGAATATTAGTGATTTTGAAGGAGGTTATTTATGGTGTGTGTGTGTGTGTGTTAGTGAATGTAGCTGTTGGTAGTGAACTGAAAATCCATCACTGTGTCTCAGGCTAGGGTGTAGAACCCCAGGAATATTTGAACGAATGAAACGTTTCCTTGGTTGAGGGTTACAGAACTGGAAACATTTGTAACAGTTGTATTGACCCGTTTAACAACACTTATCTGTTTATTTTCGTGTCTGGAATAGCGTGCTGTTATTTTTAGCTTCTAGATGAGCAAAGTCTGGAGGTGTAACCGTCGATATATATATATCACTAAGTTCGTTGGAATCAGAATAACAGCCATCAAAAAGCTATTATTTTCTTGCATCATTGGAATACGGGTCTTGTGTTTATTGCTACGGACTGTTTCCAGTGGCCGTATATATATATATATGACATAACTCTTGTCATTTTTAGTTGTGTTATGTTATGTGAAGCTCTTTGTTGCATCTGGCACTGTGTCAAATAAAAGGGGGAGGGGGCAGTACCCTAATTTTGTTTCCATCAAATACCACAGTTATGTCATGCATTTTGACATGTGTTCGCGGATTTTTACATATTAACTGAGGCTCAATGTTTCAGTAAAGAAAGCAACATTTCAATTCCTTGGAACAGTAATATTCTGTTTTGATGATGTTCAAGTATCAACATGTTTATGTGCCCCCTGGTCGAGTCCAGACTGTGTATTACATCGTTTACGTAATTAATATTAATACTTGTTATATATTTTGTATGTAATAATATACAAATGCGGTCGTGAATGGAACAATTTATTTGGTTGTAGTTCTTTGTCTTTTCTTCCTCTACACTACATGTTTCGGCCGTAACTGGCCATCATCAGGTGTTGCATTCACGACGGCATTTGTATTATTACACATAGAAGTGCATAGTGCAACAGGATGCTTAAATATAATATAGTAAACTTCTTATATATGTCTCTCGTTACCGTGGAATATTTATCGGTCTCGTGTTTGAGACCAGACGGCGCGGGGCTAGAGGAAGAAAGTCAGAGTGAAGTTAACTTTTAAGACTTTTCACTAGCGACGGAACGTAGCCTATTAACGGTAATATTATTTTCTTATAAGATGTGGCCAGTTCTGTTGGCCAGATTGCTCGTGCTTTGACGTCTTTCGTGATATTATGGACAACGTACCGTGTTTATTTAAGACGTACCGGTAGAGATATTTGCAGAATGGTTAGTAGAACCCATTACCCTTTCATTTCCCCCTTCCGCTTTCTCTTGCCGAGCTCACCACGCCAGACAGAAAGGTTCGCAGCTTTGACCAGCTTAAAAATATTCGCATTGTATTGTGTGGTAAGCTTGCAGTCTGGTAGTGTCACCCCATACATTTCTCTACAGAAACTTTTAACCTGTACATTACATGAGGTCAGGAATACCAAATTATGTAATAGTAATATTAGCGCAGCAGTAACTCGTCCGTATTACATCTCAGGATGCTTGGTTCTGATTTCGGATTGGCTGCACGGAGAGATAATCTGGGTTTTCCTCAGTTCTATCTGTCGAATGCTGGCATAGGCCATTCCACGTTTCCTGTTAGTATCTCAGGTCAGGTAACTACAGAAGTTATTGTAGTGATTCTTACGATGTATTCAGTTATTGAAAAAAAAAAAAAAACATGCTGGCAGTATGCCGTATCATTGGCTAGGGGTTGGACCGCGATTGGGGTTCGATTTCCGGCAAGAGCTTCAGTATTTGGCGCGTTCCAAACGCAGAGTTTAAAAAAAATGGTACATATATGTCTGACAGTACGTTTAGTCGAGATCCGCCCACAGGATTTTCATGAAATTTGGTATAAGGGGAGTTTTACTTAAATTTCATGACACGTTTTAATTTTTTTCTTAAATCTGACGATATTGGACACTACGGGAAGACCTACATGCGTTGTTATCATGCATTTTTCGGGCATAACTCGGTAAATATTAATCGAATCGAATCATATTTCGGACAGAACTGTAGAGAAAAATTAAACACATTTTATGCCCAGTATAGTTTACAGTGAGGCTTCGGGTTTTGACATAAATGATTTCCACCCCAATCATGTCACAACTGGTTAACAACAGTTGGACCGATTTTGAGCGAAAGCACCAGAACTGGTACTCTTTGTTACGTGTATTGTTGCTTTCCTGCCGGTTTCAACTGTCTTACAGAAAACGCTCGTAAATCCGGATCCGAAGTATGAAAAATGGAAGATTCTGTTCACACTTGTGTACGCAGTCCAAAAGAGATGTTGGATTTAGGAGCAAGAAGGATTAGAGCAAGAGGACTTTCAGACTGTAGAAGGCCGTGCCATAGCTCAGGTGGTTAGTCGCCGGCTTCCCACCGCGGCGGCCCGGGTTCGAGCCAGATCAGGTCATATGGGATCTGTGGTGGACGAAGTGGCACTGGGACATGTTTTCTCTGAGTACTTCGATTCCCCTGCCAATTGTCGTTCCACCGACTGCCCGACATCATCATCTGTCACCCGGGGCTGGTACAATAGGTCAATTAGTCGCCGGCGTACCAAGTGGACTCGGTCTCACCCCCACCCCAAGAAAAGAAAAAAAAAGCTGAACTTCGTACTGTGTTGTGGGCAGCAGGAGAGACTGAAATCACGCAAGAAAATATCCAAAATTTGCTTGAGCTGGATGAAGGNATAAAGATAAAAACAATAATAATAAAAAATAGTAACAACAGAGTAATAAGTCTATTGGGCTCGAAATATATGTAACAAAGAAGGCAGGCTGTATCAGTTCACTATATTTGCAACACCTATATATATATATATATATATTTTTTTTTTTCATTTATTTGTTTTTAAAATTTTTTGTCTTTTAGACCTATGTTTTACTTCATTAATCCGGCTGAGCCAGGGTTTACCGTATTTGCACTGTCTGTTGAATTATTGAATAGTTCGACTTGTATCCAAATGTTTTAATACAATACTATCTCGTATAATAAAGATGAGAAATGCATACAAAATTTTGGTCGGGAAACCTGGAGGGAAGAGATGACATTAAAATGGATTGTCAGGAGAATGGATGTGGACTAATTTCATTTGGCTTAGGGCAGGTATCAGTGGCAGATTCATCTGAACATTGTGAGGAACGTTAACTTAATTTCGGTTTAATTAATTGGTACTTTCTTCAATACGGAATTGGTTCACGTAAGATATACCTGAGGATGGCCTTATAAGGCTGAAAATAAATAATGAATTAGTAAACAAATATGTGACTATCAGTCGCCACGAAAACCATCGTCAAGGCTACATAAGTAGCATTAATAATACTGAAAATTAACATTAATTTTAATTAAGTGTTGGGTTACACAAAAGTCCGGGAAATTTAGACTAACTGATCAACTGTCAGTTTATCAAGTAGGATTCTGCTCTGTGGTGGGCACCATTCTATGTATGTCCACCATTTTTCAGACTGCTGTGTGATGTATGGAGTGTTAAGAACCAGTCCCAGAAAGTAGGCATGCTTTCGGCAACGTAAAACTTTTATTATGCCTGCCATAAACCCTTGGTTTACGCAGGAAAATTTATTGTAATTAAACCTAACTTCTTTGGGATGAACTGAGGCCTCTGTGATAAGAAATCATCACATAACCATCTGAGCTATGGCGTAGCCTATTGCAATTATCATCATTATCCATTTAAATCACAGTGATTACTATATCATCATCATCCTCATCATCAGTAATCTGTCAGACGACAGGTCCACAGTCTCTTCCAAAACAATTCCTCCACTTAATGCGATCTAGAGCTTTCTCCTTCAAATGACAGTATCCTCTTCTGTCCCCAAGGTCATTCAGCATCTTCTTACGTCTTCTTCCTCGTCTTCTTGTCACTTCTATCCGCCCCTCTATCTTTCCTTCAATAACTTCTTTTAGAAGGCAGTTTCTGCGTAAAACATGACCAATCCAATTAGCCTTCCGTTTTCTTATTTCGTGTAGGATATTCCTCTGCTCACTGACTCTAATTAACACTTCNAGTACAACTTCCATCATCTGTTAACAAGCTACCCAAATATTTAAAACATTTCACATTCTCCAGTTGTTTTTGGTCTATCTTTATTGTGACTGGGGTTGGTTGTCTCGAAATTTTCATTACTTTTGTTTTCTCCACATTCATTTCCATGCCATAGCACCTTCCAGTTTCAATTAGTCTATCAATCATGCCCTGTAGCACAGTTTCTTCCTTAGCCATTTACACAAGGTCATCTGCATATTTCATAGTTTGGATTACTGTATATGAGACCTGTATAAGTTTGAAACATAATGCGTTTGTCCATACAGTTTAGTTATATTTTATATAATTTTTAGAATAGACAGCAGCTGTTTCCCGAAATAACATTAACTGTTTGGGTTTTGTAATTGGTTTAGGTAGTGTTTGAACTGAATTTTTAAATATTATGTAGATAAATTTTGTGCTTCAAACGGGTGATGACAGTGTTATTGTTGATAATTGTGCAGAATCATTAACGACAGAACACAAGATCGTGTTGACAGTGTTGCGAATGGAATACTGAATTCTATATTTACAGTTTGATATTTTTTGTTTACATTGGTAAATAGCATTAGAATGTAAGTAAATTTACCTTTTGTAGTTACAGAAAACATGCAAAATAATAAAAATTAGCGTTTATTTTCAGAAGTAATATGTTTCTGAAAAAAATTGTCATAGGAATTCACGTGTAATTCTAAACGTCAAAGTTTGTGTATATGTGACTGAATGGAACTTGAGATGTTGAGCGCAGTGAAAATTTGGATTGTTGTCTTCGGTTATGACGTGTACATTTTCATACATGGTTGAAAATATTTCAAAATAACTTAAGGTGGAAGTGGAAGCTGTAATTTCTCCCAAAAACATTCTGCGAATGTCTGCAAGAGTACACGGCGCCATCCAGAAGAACACAGTTTGAATTCATCTGG